CATCAACAGTTCTAAAGTAGTAGCTTTCCAAAGCATTCCATATTTTAATAGCGGAGCGTCCGTGCGCGCAGCGGAGCCCCTTACCCATAGCAAATGGGAACCTGTCTATGCCAGAATATGTGGTTATGACGCCAGCGTACGTCGTACGTCAGCCGTACAGACTCTGGAAGTAGGAGTAAAAAACTTATAAGGGTAGGGAAGGGAGTCCCAGACATGTACGTTGCGTTTCGTTTTGGCGCAAAATTAATCATTTTGGGGGCAATCAACGGATTTGCCGGAGTGAAAATATAGCTTGAAGTTTCTTTTGTTCGACTTCCGACAAAATTTTCGGAATAAATTTCTAAAGCTCTGCTTTTTGGTTTGTCAAGCTTTTGGTCACACTCCATGAAGGAACGACCTACAGTAGCCCCATTCCCGCCGTCCCCACTTGGTCAAAATTTTGACAGGCGAATTTATGAATGAATGATGCAACATCCCATAGAAATTTGTTTGCCGACAGACTTGCCAACAACTGAAGCCACTTTTTCATTTCAGTGAAGTTTTAAAATTATCGTGTTCTTGTACTGCCTCCACAAAATGAAATGCTAACGCTCTCGAGTTTCTTTTTCAGTTTTCAAAACTGAATTCTTCATTTAGTCAGATTTAGTTTTTCGTCGAGGAAAGCATCGCAAAGGGATTGATCGATGTTTGCGTTTGTGATAGTTCATGCAGGCTCTTACGGCGGACTACAAAATGAAATACAGCTGCTATCAAGATTCTTCTGTTATTTGAAGCTGGTTTGTTAATTTGGTTTTTGGGTTGAGGAAAGCTTCGCTACAGGATTCAACGAAAGTGAAAGTTGAACATGCACGCTTATACAGCAGATTACAGGAAAAGTTTCTCACCTCACTTATTCGCTTTCACGAGCTGCATCCAAGGTGAGCCTGAGTAATTATTACAGTTTTGTTTTAGTTTTGTTGTTAAGTCAGACGTAATTATTTATGTCATGACATGTACTAAATTAAAGATTTGAGATAGAGAGACGATGTCAATGGTCTCGCGTTTAGAAGCTTAAATATACACAAGCTTAAATTAATTTTCTGGTTGTAAATGGAAAAAGAACGGATCAAAGAATAACCAGTCGTAATAGTTGCTGGTAAAACGTAAGGATGATTAGCGAAACGTTTGCTTCGAGGCTCATTCATCTATTTTAAACGCCAAAAGCCGGCCAAAAAAAGAACAAACGAGCAAACAAACACAAAGGGCCTAAACGAGGTCTAACTTAGACCACGGTTTAGGAAATCTTTGGACCTCAAGATCTCTTTCTTAGTGGGTTATTTTAAGAAGAAAAATAAACCGCTTTTCTAGTCTACGCCATATACTTTTATGAAACTGTTCACGATAAAAGGTGCCTACGTAAAAGTGTTCGGCAAACTGAAAATGGCTTAGAACGAGGTTTCATATTAAACACTGACTAAACTCCGTTTAAATATCCGGCCCCAAAAAAACAAGGTATTCGGAAACACTTCAGTCATTCCACTTACTGTGTTGAACAAAAAATGGTTGTTGTTTTAATTATCATTCATAATCTTGCAAGGTGTTCTGCAGCTTTTTTTTCCTTTCGCGGACTGTGTCAGAATGACTCGTGAATGAAACGTCTGAAAATGGTTCAAGCATAGCGTGTGATTTGCGCTTGTGTTTACACATTTAAAAAAATTACATTGTACATATAAGATTTGTCCATTATTTCACCGACAGACTTCTGACTGTAGTTTAAGTCTAGCGCACATTTAGGCGCATTAATTGAATACAGAACATGTAAGGGTCAGTTTGTGTGGACTGTAAAATTAAGGTTAATCATAAGGAAAAATGTTAAATAAGTTATCAACCTTCATAGCTCTTTTCGGCAGAAGAAACAAAAAGTATAACTTACAGTAAAAGCTACTGAGAATCAGTAATCGGTTCAGTGTTGCACACATGGGGAAGAATTCTTCTCTAAGACTATTACTGAGATCGAATTTGATCTATGATTTTTCCTTTTTGTTTTAAAATCGGTTTAAGTAATTAAAAGTATATAAATGGACGATTCGCTTTTAGCCTTGGCTAAATCTTTATATTGTCTAAAATGCGTTCGTTACCTGTTTCCTGCCACTAAAGCAAGAGTACGCAGCAACGCAAAGGCCACCCACATCACAACAAAACCTTAATGGAACTGACACGTCAGATAAAGTTTCCGAAAATCCATCTTCCTTTGATGAGGACTGTAATGAAGTACAGTGAACATAGATTTAATATTACAATGTCTGATAGTGCCAGGACGATAACAAAGTTGGCTGGGATGGTGCGAAGGCGGTGGTTTTTATTTGTAAAGGACCAACAGAATCGCAAAGTTACCGACAGAATTAACAGATACAATAAAGGAGTAGAGGGAGGAATGTCTCTCCCAACGATACGTGACGGGGAACGTGATGCTATTCCCCGTGAACAGACGATCTTTCTTCAAATGATGAAGAACGCATGATTCCACAATCGTGGTAGCCAGAAGTCAGAAGTCTCCTCTCGAGTTGGGTAATCAATGCTTATCAGGTCCTCTGCTGCTGGAGGGGTGAGGGTATGATCCCATTGTCATTGTTGAGCAATAAGCTAAAGTAACTCCTCCACTCTTTTAGTAGCTCTTGTTCACTAGATGCAGCTGAGCCATCTCGCTTATTAACCTTCACATTTTGCCTGGTGTTCTTTCCTGAGAGTTTATGGATGATGCGCCTCAGGTGGCTATGTAGCTACTAGACTCTGTTTCTTTGTTTGGTCAAGATGATCTTTGAGGAAGGTGTAGAAGTCCTTCTGTACTGAAGGAGATGAAAATCTAGTAGGAGGGTACTCAACAATGATGCTTAGTTCGGGTTTCCCATGAAATGTTGTAAAGATGATTCTTTCAGTGACGTCTTCTACCCTTTGCAGGCATCTGTATGCTAAGACATGACTAACCTAACACCGCCTTGTCTTCCTTGGGTAGCAGAACCATATAATATATAGATTTAGCCAGGGCTAAAAGCGAGGCTCCCATTAATAAATTTATAATTTAAATCAAACAATAAACTTGTATTCCACAATTCAGTTAACTTTAGAGCACATTCGTGTGACTTTTCAGGGAAAGGCTAGGTGATTTTACAAAAAATAATTTGCAAACAGCCCAAGAGTGAACCAAATCTCACATCGAATTGAAAGCCTCATAAGTACACCCAAAAACTGGCAATCATCTTCGATCACATTTGTTAAGAGCCATAATGGCTCTTGATCACCGTAGATTAATTAGGCCTGGAAAAAAATTCCGCCCGAATTTTTTGCGTTCGACAAGTTTATTTTACAAAATCTTGCCAACAAATCTGGGTGCGTGTAAGCCAACCTTTTATATCATTTATACATCACATCTGAGGAGAAGCAGTACTATGAGGCACTGTTTTTATCATACAGACCTCGGACAACAGAATGCAGTATTTCAGAGTATTGCGATACAAATTGCTATTCAGGACGATCGAAGAACGCGTGGGCTTTAGCCGTAGACCGTTGAAAACATTTTCAAAATCATCTATACGGCCAGCCGGTTCTGACTTTTACAGTGATAGCAGTGGCGAGTGTTTGAATGAACATTAGCAGAGTTACGCTCCAACATAACAAAGAATTTATTATGTTTATTTTTTATTTTAAAACGGTTTAACACGCGGCATTTTGAGTACTCCGGGAAGCGTTGTTTACTGAATGACTGAAAACAATCGGCACAACGATTAAAATTACAAGAGAGAGTACTAACCATCAATAACTGAAATATAATTCGGTGAAACATATACAGAGACGACAATTTTCATTCAGGAAGACAAGTATTAAAGTGTCTCTAAAAATCCTGAGTCTTCGAGCTTACAGCCAGAATTATAACTAAATATTCTTTGAAACGCTTTCTTTCTATTTGCCGTGAGAAAATGTCTAAAGGCTTTTTAAAGATCTGTAAGCTTATAACAAACCTGATACTCGGTCAGATCATTGAGGGCCTCCCAGGGGTTTTAGGGAACAAGGGAACATCGCCATTTACTTTTAGGGAACAAGGGATATTTCAAAATAACTTTTAGGGAACAAGGGAACTGTTGAGGGATATTCGGGAACAAGGGAACATTGACCAACATTGACTTTCGACCATTTTCTAACTTTTGGAGAGATTTCCATTAACTGTTTATGAAGACATGTCCGACGTTTCTGTAATTTCACGCATTTCCGACGACTAAGCCTGGCGACTAATCTTCACAAGTGAACTGGTGACGACTGGGGACGAGTTTAGAACGCGTGGGAACCTTGGGAGAGACTCCGTCGGGTGGACCGCCATTTTTATGGTAATTTTCTCTTTGGTGTTCCATGTCTAGAAACGCTAACCATTTATTAATAAATGGCAACGGAAACAGAAGGAATTCAAGCTCAATCTGCGGATATATCAGACACAACGGTAATTGTACCGGTTACCAGTGCAATTTATCACAATGGAAATGAAAAGCCCACAGAAAGATGGTGTTTTGAACTCGGTATGAGGACTGTTTCAGATAAAGATTTTACGTCAGTTTTAAGCCGTTAAGTTTTAAGTCGAGAAGCTCAAAGAAAAGCTGAAATTTGTTGATAAATGGAATGAAAATTGGAAGAAGAAACCAAAGAAGTACCTACAAGAAAAACTCAAAGAAGCTTTAAAAAGCATTGAAACCTTTGAGCCAAACGAATTTCAACTTGAAAGAAATTCAGTTGGTCATCAACACGTGAGACTTGATAAGGAAATCAGTCAACCTGTGGCGATTTGTTTTGATACTGAAGGACGAATGTACGTTTCAACGTTCAAGGGCACTGTATATGTCATAGGGCTTCACTCAAACCTTGTCAGCCTAAAGGGTACAGTCATTACCTCTCTTCAGCTCAATTGTGAACTCTTGTATGGAATAGTTTCTGTTAAAAACGTGATTTATGTGTCCGCACACGATCAAAGAGGAGGGCTCTATAGGGTGGAGTTCAAAGAACACAAGATTGAGAAGATTGCTAGTAATGGTGGTTCGATCTGTAACAGGGTGCATAGTTTAACCAACTACAATGATCATGCAATAGCATTCAATGACACTGGAGATTGCAAGGTCAAGGTCATTAATCCTGCCACAAAAGAATGTTTCGTGCTGGTTGGTGACGGACAGGGCACAAGGGATGGAAGCAAGGCACAGCTCTCTCAGCCAACAGGAATATGTTTTGACATGAAAACGTTGTTTACTGTGGACACATCGACAGGTGCACTCCGAATGACGAGCAATGTCAACAGTTTAGTGGAGTATTTGAAGTACCTACATTTGTTCGGAGAGACATTTGGACTTCACCCTAAAAAGGAAGCTCCTCTCGCCATCGAGATGACGCCAGCAATAGAGAGACTGGAGTTAGTTTATCGATTTGACCAAGAGTGCGTCGACAATGTCAAGGTTGTAACAGGCACGCATGGTGAAACACAGGGCCCTCAAGGAACTGTTTCTTCAGTTGTCATTGAAGACGAGAGACGATTACTTAAGTCACTACGTGAAATTAAGGTCCTTTTGGACCGGTTTAGTTCTGGGTTGAGTGCTAGATTTAACATAAAGAGCATTTTGACCCTGGTTGTGGAAAACACGTTTTCTGAGATGAGAACGGGTGCCAGTGACATACCGTTGCAGCTTGAATTTGACTACAGGTTCAGTAGAGCGATCAAAGAACGCTTAAAAAGACAGTGCTCTACACCATATTCATACTTTACTAGCTCTAGTTCATACTACCCACACACCTTTGTATCTGCAAGCTACTCTGACCTTCC